CTCACAGGAATGTCACAAACACTGGCAGATGTTTTTCCTGTTTGGCTGGGTTTTTTTTGTTTTGTTTTGTTTTAGCATTTGCATTATTTGATAATGTCCTGCCTGCTGACTGCTACTAACCCCTGCCCAAATGTTCCGCAGACCAAACAGCAGTAAGCGCCAAGTGATGAGCCTCTCATCCCGACAAATACAAAGGAACACTCGTTTCTAGCATGTCACAAGGAACATGTCTTCAGGGAAGAGCAATGTTTGCGGAACAGGCCATGTGGTCCTGGGGCAGCTGACTTCTCTCTGTACTTCTTTACTAAATATAAGAGAATTCTCTCTGCTTACATAAACAACTAATGCAAGTGACTAAAATAAAAATCGTCTCAAGTGCTTTTGACTGAAAAATCCAGTTACGTCTGAATGAAACTTAATAGCAGGCCTGAAAAGCATTCTTGCATTTCTTTCTTCCAGTTTGCCTTACTGGCGTATCATGCTTGCTCTCTAGGGCACATGGGCCCAGCTTAGCGCAAAACCTTCAAGTAACTCTTTTGTCCCGGGTAAGAACTTGCCCATGGGTTTCTCTTAAGACATTAGAGAATGTGTCTTTGCCCCTTCCTTCCTTGTCTCAAATTTTGAAAAGAATCTTTGGGTTAAGTGACATAAGACCACAGAGCCTTCAGAAGACAACCATGTCTCCTGCTGTCCCCACATTGCCACATCAGACTACCTCCGCCCCTCCCCATGTAAACCAACAGAAACTTAAGTGGGAGCAGCATTCAGCTGTCATCCACAGCAGAGTCTCTGGGGGTCTCTTTTCCATAGCGTGACTGCACAGGCCTAGTGTGCGCTTGTGGGAGTTGATTTGGACGTTTCTAGTTATGTGGCTTCGACCAAGAGCCCTAAATGTTCCAGTCTTAGTTTCATCAGTTAACAGGGATGATGGGTTCCAGGGGTGCTAAAGTGACAGGCCCCTAGGGCAATTAACAGGGGATTTACTCCAGAAATATCACACTGTTCTCTACATATAAGTCAATCGCTTCCCACGTCCTCTTCCACACCACATAACCACGCTCATACACAACCCAGACAGCGCTTTTGATTGATTTTTGATTTTTGTTTTTGTTTTGTTTTTGCCATTCACTTCCTCTGGCTAGTAGCTCTTTGACCCTGCTGAAACCGAACATTCTAGCTTCCTCAAGCTTCACTCAGCTTTGTTTTGTTTTTGCTTTTTTAACCCATTAACCCCTATCTTAAGAGGGAATAAGAAAGAGGAATGCAAAACTTACTCTCTGCTCTGTATGAATAGCTGTGATCCCAACTTAAGAAATAATTGCTCTATCCGTTACATCAATATAATCATTATGCTATGCAATATTATAACATTATTGAAAAGAACTACCAAAATTTTTAATTTGCTGAAATATCTCATAAAAGCAAGAGGCTGGTCCAGCAAGATAGCTCAGAAAGAAGCTTGCCGCTAACTAACCCTAAAGACACGAGTTCAATTCCCACATGGTGAAAGTAGAGAACCAACTCGTAAAACCTTCTATCTCCATGTGTATATGTTTGTACACTCACATGCATGCATGTACACACAGATAAGTAAATAAGTAAGTAAATAAATAAATAAGAGACTACTATTTTAGTGAATCCCAAAAACCTTCCAGAATGGCATGGCCTGTATCAGAGCACAGACTTCAGTATGTAATATATAATATATTAATATGTAATATATAATGTATTCACACAGATGCCAGAACTAGTTCCCTTGAAAAAGTGCTGTCACTAAAAAGTATAAAATATTTTATAAACAAGAAATAAACAGTAATTCAATAACCATAGCTCTTTTAGGTTCTCTGGTAACTGGAGTGGCTTGATAGGAATGATTTAAATAGAAAGAAGGCAAATCTGCTCGGCCTCAATTATGAGAAGAAAAGAATGGAAAGCTATCTTTCTTTTAAAGTTTACAGTTAGTTAGAGGATAGTAAACAGAGTGACGAAGTCCAGAGCTATGGTGCTATCATTTGGGCCTAGGTGGCTGATTACAAGGTGGCTTCTCTCCCCTTCCTTCTCTTAAAAGTTCCATTATTGTCCTTTGAAAAAGCACTAGATGGTATTCCCTGACTGTTTCCACTGAGTCACAGAAGCAAGCCTGGCCCTCTGCTTGCTGAATGCAGCTTTGGAGGCAGGCCTTTTATTGCCCCCACTTAGCAGCAAGGAAAGTGAAGCTCACAGGGATTAACCCCATGAGTCATCCAGGAAGCAATAAAACTGAGCTTCAAGCTCAGAGCAAACAGTCTTTACAATTATTCCCGGAAGCCTCACTGGGCCTGTACTTTTCATTTAAAAAAATTTTAGAGACTTTCAGTTAAGTGAGTAGTGGAGAGGCTACCTCTGCCTGACATGATAAAGGAGGAAAGAAATAATAAGGCATGTTTTTACACTATTCAATGAAGGAGAGTTTTGGAAAACTCACAGAGATGATGCCAGAAAACCTATGGAGGAAAAGATTGACAACTGCACCAAAAAGAAGCAAACCCTGCCAGACAGCTCCAGCCAGGCTTCCTGGTAGGGGAGGGAGCAGGTGCCTCATCCCAGAGGTGAATAGAGACCAAGACCAGCAGTCCTGGCCTCGGGACAAGCCACAGCTTCGCAAACCCCAAACCAGTTGTGGGTTTGGTCAAACAGTGATTCCCTCCTGCAGCAGGGTCAGTAGTGGAGAGGACTAGAGAGGGCCAGAGAGAGCCATTCTGCCACTCCATATGACTCAGTGGCCAGGCACACCCTGAAAAGGAACCTATCATTTAAAACTTAGCTACCTTAAGGGCCTGACAACAAGGAATACCCACAAGTCTGGGAGCTTTAATTTAACCTGCAATAGCCCAAAATGAGAAACCCTCTAGGAAGCACAGATGGAGGGAGAGGGGACAGAAGCTGGCAAGGGAACAAGTGTAGTTAGCAGGAGGCTTGCCTCAGGCGGTGAAGTGTGCGGGCAAAGGCAGGCAGTCCCCACATAGCTTTGGGGAAAGGGGGGTGTCTGATTAATTAGTCAGTCTACACCCACCTATGCTCCCTCCTGTGCTGCGGAGTCTGAGAACTGCAAAACCCCAGGACTCTCCTTGACATTCACAGTGACATTCCTCCAGTAGGATGACAAATAGTCCGGTCTCAAAAGCACAGACCTCAGAACTGTGGTTGCTCCTCACATTCATTCTGGAGACACACCCTAACTAAGGGTGTATGATCCCAGCAGCCCTAGGAGGACAGGAGAACTGGCCCCGCCCACATAGTGAAAAGCTATGTGTGGCTACAAGAGGAAAAAAAAGGAACGCTATCAAAATGAAGACAGGTCTGGTTGACATCAGACCCTTGGTGGATACAAGGTCAATACAGGGATAAACCATGGGCATAAGTTTACACTCCGCTGGCCACTGCCCATGCAGACAGTTCTCTGCTATGCAGTTGACAGACTGACGAATACCAGCACACAGTTTACTAGAACCCACAGTGGGCTTTGAAAAGACATCAGCACCCAGAATCTCCTTGTGGTGGTTTGGATCAGACACGTCTCCCATAGGCTCACTCGGTCCACAGTTGGTAGTGTTATAATTTATGCAGGATCTGGGGAAACTAAGTACATCAGTGGAGGCAGTCGCTACAGATACAGTTCATAACCTTTCCCTATGTCCAGTTCACTTTCTCTGTTCTGTGCTTGAGTTTGAAGACCTGGTCTCTCAGCTTCCTACTCTGGCGGCCAGCTGCTGTGCCTCTCGGCCTTGTAGATGCCCCCCATGGTAACACAAACCAAAATAAAACTTCTTCCTTACGTCGTCCTTGGTCAAGATGATTTATCATAGAAACAGAAAACAGTTAATCCAGACATTCTGGCTTATCTGGTGTTAAAAGTTAATTTTAGTTTTCAACCTTTTAGTAAGCCCAGACAACAGGTATAACCATTCTGAGTCTATCTGTGAGGATGCCTCAGGAAGGAATAGACCTGAATCAACAGACCCACAAAGAACATTCTTCATCTATCAATGCATGTGGACACAGGCCAATCCACTCAGGGTCTGGGTAGACCAGACAGGCAGAGGCAGAGGCAAACTGCCCTCTCTCCTCAAGCTGACTGGCCATCTCTTACCTCCAGGCATCAGAACTCTAGGTACTAAGGCTTTTGGATTTGGTCCTACCTAGCAGCCCCCAAGGTTTTCAGGGTTTAGGTTTCACAGTGAATTGTACCACCCACTGTAATAGTTCTCTGGGTTAATGAAGAAAGACTATTAGTTTCTTGGTCTCCAACTACGTTGGCTAATTTCTGCAATAAATCTCAGCCTTATCTACAAGCATCCTATTGACTGCCTTGAAATATTATGACTCATTCAACTGCAGTTTTTCAAAAATCCCCTAGTTGCCTGTAATGTGGCTTCAAATTTGAGAATATATAATTCGAACATTCAGTTTAATTAACAGTTCATTATTGTTTTTCACATAAGTACAAAACGAAGAAGGACCTGAGTGCTAATAGAATCTAAATCTTTTAGCTAGATGAAATGCAAACTATTTTCACATACCTGTTATAATTGCACATCTAGATATACGTCATTGAAATTAGCTATGATTTCAAGGTATTCAAATTTACAATGTAAACACAAAGAAATCAACTGACAACTATAGCAATTGGGTGACGATTTATGGAACGAGCTTTAGAGAATAACATACAACGTGAAATAAATCCATTAGAATGCCTATCCATTAGATAGGAAGTAAAATGTATACAATTTGTTTCCCAATGAAAGGTCAGGGGCAAGTCTCTGCTTAGCATTCAGCTTTGTAACTACAGTTTAATTAAAAAAAAAAAAAAACTCAAGCAGAATGCTTAAATATTTGTATTTTAATTTCAATGATAATTTGTCACTATAGCATTATTTCATATATGTGTAGAGTAAAGAATATTTTTCAAAATGAAAAATATTTCCAAGTGACCTTTTACAAGCAATGAAAAATTGGCTTACCTCTTCTCTGTGGTTTTTAATTGGCATACAAAGGATACTCTGTGTCCTGTAACCTGTAATTTGGTCAACTTCAGCATTGAACCGAGGATCCTAGGAAGGAAAGAGAAATCCAATTTATTGGGCTACATGTACAAAGATTGATTTGATTTTTCTCATGCATTAGATTAGAGGAACCTAACCTTTGACTTTCCTGGTTACTATTGAGTAATGGTTTTACCATTGTGAAAGATATCAGATCGTGATTAAGTGTAAGGGCTATTCCGGGTTTCAGTATTTACACAAACTAAGCGCCCCATCCCAAACCAAGATTATAACAATTGTTTCAAACTAAATGGCATACAAATATTTAGAGAGTTTTGTGGCTGAGGGAAAAATAGCATCTTTGACCTCTGACAGAAGTTGTCTGTCCCCATCTGTCTACCGTCTGCCGTTACTGTGTCACTCACAGAAAAGCAGTTCTAAAACCTTTCCAACAAATGATGTCATTTCCAGTCTAAGGATAGTTCTCTATACATCCATATAGTATTATATCAGGATAGTAAAAACATGGAAATTATGGAGAAATGGAAAAGAAAACGGGGCCCCTCCTCAAGACTGGCTAAAGCCTCTCGCTAGCTGAACAGAAGCCTCCAATTCCAGCACAAACAACACTTTCCATAAAAAGCTGTTGGCATAGAATTGATATTCATTTCATAAACAGCTATCTTATGTTAAAGTAGCAATGGCCTAGGCCTGAATGTATGTGATTGTTGGCCAAGAAATCTGTTAACTTTGTTTTCAGTTTTCACTAAAGATGTCTTCATGCATCCCTGTAGATTAGACTCCTACCTTATGGGCTGTAGTCCCCTAGGTACCCAGGAGGAGTCACTCGGTGGCCTCATTGAGGTTTCTTAACAACTCTTTAAAGACAGTAACTTCAAACCTCACCACAGCCTGTATGTGACTGTTTAACAAGCAGTGAGCCTCTCTGAGTACTCCATACCCACACTCCTGGGCATGTCTTACTTTCTTCCGTGTGTCCCTCTTTCTCTTAACCTTTATGCTTAAGCTCATATACCAATAACCTTCTTAAACCTCGACTCTGCTTCATAAACTGGCCAAGTTCTAAAATTCCTGTCTGCATCAAAGCCACGAATCCTTGTTTGGTTTTAAAGTGTGTGTGTGTGTGGGGGGGGTGTCTTCAGGCTGCTAGGAAGGTATGTCTCCACCCTCCACCCTCCAACCTCCAACCTGCTGGTGCTTCTATAGTGGGTGTAAATAAGGATTTTTGTTAGCTCTTGAATCTCTTTGCTCTTTAAAAAAAAATTTTTTTTTTTTTTTTAGTTGTGTGTGCAAGTGTGTGTGCTCACGAAAGCAGGTGCCCAAGGAGGCTCAGAAGGCATCAGATGCCCTGAAGCTGCAGTTAGGGAAGTTGTGTACGCCCTGATATGGATGACAAACTGCACAAACGGTACCTCTCTTCATTTGCAGCTGCCATCTCTGCAGGAGAGATTAAGGGCATCCAGGAGAGCCTGAATAAAAGGATATCAGGTATCTATTGAGGACACTCATGAATAACAGTAAGGTAAAGAGCCACCTAGGTCTCCTGCCCTGGGGTCACTGGAAACTGTGATCAGATTTCCAACTATCACACAAGAGAGATGGAGACTGCTCCCCTCTTATTTTTAAAGCAAACAAGAAGCTCCATCTCTAATATCAGGCCAGATAGCCCGAGGTCATGGCCGGGGCCAATACCCACTACACATCTCTCTAGCCCCTCTAGTTTATTTTTTCATATAATCTTTTAAATTCAAATTAGAAACATGCTTGTTTTACATGTCAATCCCAGTTCCAGACCCTTCCTGTCCTCCTCCCATCAACCCCTATCCCATCCCCTTTCTGCTCCCCAAGGAGGGTGAGGCCTCCATGGGGAGTCTTTCATACCATTTGGGGCAGGGCCTAGGCCCTCCCACATGTGTCTAGGCTGAGAGAGTATCCCTCTATGTGGAATGGACTCCCAAAGTCCATTCATATACTAGGGATAAATATTGATCCACTACCCGAGGCCCCATAGACTGCCCAGTCCTCCCAACTAAGACCACATTCAGGGGGTCTGGGTCAGTCCTATGCTGGTTTCAGATGGGGGTCCATGAGTTCCCTTTGTTCAGGTCAGCAGTTTCTATGGGTTTCTTCAGTCTGATCTTGACCCCTGTGCTCCCCTCTAGTTTGTTTATTTTTTTAAATACAGAGATACATAGCTAAGAACTACCAAGGATATAAAAAGTATAAACATTCTAAAAGTGGGTTAAATAAGGTTAAAAGACAGTTTTCCATTGTTTAGATGAGCAAGATTATATTCTCTAATTCTGTGAGGTTTTTTTTTAATCTCTTTTTTTCCTTTCTTACTGTATTCTTAATACTTGGTAGTCATTAATAATTGGGAGCATTATAAATAAGTGATACCATCGTTATCAGATGTGGTCACTTGTACCTTTTTAATCCTCAAACTAAGTTTGACCCTTAGAACTGAAATTTTAGAAAATGAAGTCAGATGTAAGTATAGAGGGAAAGTGAGCGAGCACGCCAGGGCATGCAGACCCCAGCGAGTTCTGTGCGCCGTCTAATAATAGCATTCTTGCTCCAAAAGCTGCATTTGGAATTCCCCTCAGGAATATGGAATATTTGCTCAGGAAAGCCCTCCTCTTTCAAAGGTCGTTTCTTTTTTCTATTTTTTTTTTTTTTTTTTCTTTAAATTGGTCTGAAGTCGTGCAAGGCTGAAGCTGTGAGGAAGTAGGTAATTACACCAGATTCTATCAAATGGGGTCAGAAATGAGGCCAGTTTTCTCAAGAGGGGAGAAGTGAAGTTGGCTTTAAAGATACCTTCAAAGGAAAAGACACATCATTATAAATATTTTACATTATGAGCATCACTGCATTCTTGTGAATTTCCCCCCACCCGCAATGCACAAGGTTTTAACCAGACACACAGGTGGTGTTAGCTAAATATTCCTAGTAAAGTAATCCTTATTTTATCTTTGCTTATCTAGACACTTTTATCTTTAGACTTCATTGTATCCAAGGAAAGTAGAAAGAATATTGACAGTGATGGGTTGAAGAAGTCAAAGTTAACTATTAGTGAATTATTGTACATAATACTAAATCAAATGTTAAGAAAGAAAACATACCTTTTGTAATAATTTTTAAAGAATGTTGTAATTACAAATTCAGTTCATAAAGAAGAATATTCAACTCACCTACTTAATCAAAGTAGAAGTTGTATCTACACACCAAAATTGCAACACACACATAGGACATAAGATTAGTGGAACTTCTAGGATGACCTCATATCCTTGAGCTATGGTAACCAAGCACAGAGAGGGGCCCAGAGCTTTCTCTCTCCCCCACTTCTCATCCTGTGTTGTTGAAAGGGTTCTAATAGGTCTTAATATAAAACTCAGAGTCAGGGATTGGGCTAAAAGCTTAAGATCTGAGAAGCAAAGCAGCTAGCCACTAGCGAGTTCTCACCTCTACCAGTGCTCAGAATGAAGGGGTGGGCCTGTCCTCAGACTGCATCTGTCTCCAATAAACCTCAGACTACACTGAGCTCCTGTCCCCTCCCACCTTATATTCCTCTGTAGTGCTGGGATTAAAGGCATGGGATCCCAAGTGCTGAGATCACTTTTGTGTGAGCTCTGTTTCTCTTTTAGACTAGATCAATTTCGTGTAACTCAAGACAGTCTTGAACTAACAGAAATCCGTGTGCCTCTGTCTCCTGATTGCTGGGATTAATGGTGTGTACCACCACTGCCTGGTCTCTATGGCTAACTAGTATGGCTAGCTTTGCACTCTGATCTTCAGGCAAACTTTACTTGTTAGATCATAAAGTATCACCACACTGTGTTCCCTTCAGTTTAACAGTTACAGAGTTTTAACAGAAGGTATAATGTTTTACTGAGTGCTGTGGATCATCTCATCAAATGACTGGCCATGAGGAAGTTACAGGAAGTGTGGGTTGCACGGGTCTCCTCTGAGGATGGTGTTGGGAGACAGGCATCCTCACAAGACTGTCGCCTTAACATATAGGCTTTGTACCTGCAGGGTAGTATTAGAATTAAACAGGATTGTAAATACCCACTTCACACAGAATTTAGCTGTTGTGTGGAAAACCAAAGAAGGTCTCAAAAAAATTGGACATCTGTGGGTGCTCTTGCCAAAAGAGCCTAGCTTCATTCACATGAGGGAACCAACTCTCAAAAGTTGTAAGTTGTTCTCTGACTTCTACACATGTGATATCACAAACACACACATACACACCAATAAAAAAATTAAAATCACAATAAAATTTTTAGTAAAAGTATGTCTTCGACTTACCTAATTATAAAAAAAATGAAAATACTAAACATGTATGACTTACAGGAGAGGTGGGGGAAGGAAAGAAGGACATGGTGATATAAATCTATGAATTGAAAATGAACATACCAGAAAACAAAAACACAAAAGAATTGCCAAGTAAGGCTCATTTCCTCCAAGAATGGCATTTTAAAGATAATGCCTAAAATTAGAGCATGAATATGAACAAGCAAACACAGCAGTTCCCAGACTGTGTTCCCTGGGGGCACAGAACACCGCAAGAGTTCATGATTTATCTAAACTGCAGCATCTGCTGTTGCTCTTCCCTTTTCTAATACTTATTTTGGAAATAATTGCACTCATTAGGAATTCGCCAGTGAGATTCCGTACTCCTTTAAGAAGGGATTGGTCCCAGTCCTTCAGTGGAAAGTGAGGATGGCAGAGAGAGATGAATTGATGTGTTCCTCTGCAAAAGGATGAAAGGGAAGAATAGAGGAAAGGAAGGCGGGCGGGAGGAATAGCACTACGTGAGCACAGCAATGTAAGTGACGTGTGAATCCTCGCATCATCTGTGCTCTCCAGAGGTCAGCGACCACTCGGAGCTGCCGTCTGCATTTGAGTCACTTCAGGAGAGAGGCAGGAGTTTCAATAATACAAAGCCACACAACGCAACAGCAATCCCAGGAAGGGGTTAGAAAACTTCCTTTAGAAAGGGTACCAGTCTTGGGTGGTCTTGTGTAGGAGTTGGATATGTTGTTATT